GCAACATGATTGTAAGATATCTGAACTGGGAGAATGTGGTCTATTTCTCACCAATTAGATCAGTAAATGTGGGCAATTCTGGCATCTCTGCATCTCAATATTCTCATCTGCAAAATGGGCATGTTCTCAGCCTTTGCCTGAAGGAAGAGCTTACGTGCAGTGGAAGGAAGAATGAACAGAGTGAGAAGATCTGTGTTCTAATCCTACCTAATTAGCCATGTACCCGCACAGCAAAAGAGCTGCGCACTTTGGGCCTCCATGACCATTGTCCTGCTATAAAATGAGACAGATCAACTAAATAATCTCTAAGTGTCCTTCCATCTCTGACAGTCCATCAAAAAACACACAAATGGCCCGAGCTGGTTCGGCTCAGTGGATAGAGCGTCAGCCTGTGGACTGAAGGATCCCAGGTTCTATTCTGGTCAAGGGCACATGCCCTGGTTGTGGGCTTGATCCCCAGTAGGGGGCAGGCAGGAGGCAGCCCATCAATGATACTCTCTCATCATTGATGTTTCTATCTCTCTCTCCCACTCCCTTCCTCTCTGAAATCAATAAAAATATATACTAAATAAAAAACACAAATGTCCTGCAAACCAGATATTTTTCCAGACTGTGGATGCTGTGCAGATGCAACTAGTACATACTAGTAAGTCCAACCATAGCCCTGCTTTTCAAGCTAAAACTATCCCTGCCCACGCATCCCCAAACATCCCTTCTGGCTTGTTGCTTTAGCCCTAGCAATCAGACAGACATCACTCCCAAATTATCTTTCTACCCAATTCAAGCTAGGCCTCAGGTGGGAAAAAATATCTCTAAATTTTCTATACACAAATAGAATTTTTTCTCAAGCAGAGCCTGGTTCTAAATCCCACTGTGAGGAGTACTCCCCTGGGAAAGCAGCTGTCCACACCCCAAATTAAAGCAACAGTGCTCTCAGTAACAAGTCCCATCGCTGGGCAAGCGAGCTAGCTGTCAGGGCTATAAACCCAGGGTCTGGGAGCAGAAATGCCATTTGCTCTGGCAATAATGATGTACTCACGCGATGTCAGGCAGCTGGCCCTCCGCTGGCTCTCACTCCCTCTCACACACCCGGAGTCCTTTTGCAAGGAGGTGATCCCAAGGCCAGAGGGGAACAGCACTGAGACATTCTCTTCTCTGCTTCCAGAACAAGGGGCAAAGGAATGGAGGGGAGGGATGGGGGGGAGTGGGGGAGGGGAGAGACTTGGTTTCTGGAAACAAGAATTCAAATCCTGCTTCTCCTAAACCCTGAGTCACCTCCTTCTCTTCCAATAGATCAGTGTGGTGGGTAAACATTTCCATATATGGGGAAGCAGGCTGGAGGATGTCAGAAAAATCACCCTTCTGTCCTCTGGCACTTGAAGAAAATGCCCCACTTAAGACAGAATTCCTTACTCGGAGTAAATGTTTAACCCCAAAAGAAGTGGAGTCTAAACTGTCCCGCATGCTCCACCACCCAAACAAGGGAGGGACTAGTTTGAAAGTCTATAAGCTCACCTTAGGAATGGGGTCATGGGAGAATACAACTACATTTATGAAGTCACTCTATTAATTCAGGGTAAGGGGAGGTATCTGGCGGGATTCACCTGAAGAGGTCACCAAGAATCCATCTGCAGTTTTTTTTAATGACAGGTGAGTCTAAAACAATCCCCACTCTTGGAGCCCAATCCCTGACTCTCTTGGGCAGAGAATTCTCCTGGGAACTTAGTTTTGCATGAGTTTTTCATAGGATGGATACCAGGTGGGAAGACCCAGAACAAAACCAGACTTTCAGGGTTTGGGGGTTGGGGAGTTCAAAATAGGAGTGTGGAATGCCCCATTTAACTTGTAAGGTTAATTCCAATCTGAAGTTCCTGAGTAGTGTTCAATGACTAAATTGGACCAGTGAAGTCAGTCAGGAATGAATGTGGTCTAAAATAACTCCAGACTAATTTAGAGGAGGAGAAAGGAGAGAGAAAAGAGATGCTGGGGGAAATAGCGGGATGGGTAAAGAAGGGTCTGCTCAGCAAAAGGAATCCATATCTTGGCTTCCTGGTGATTCTATTTCTTAGCATGATTTTGTTCTGCTATTGGCTGTAAAGGCTTTTGTAGGTCAGATGAGCCATTTTTTTAGAATTACCACCCACTTCCTAGCTTTTGGGCTTGCACCATGAGGCTACTTGTTCTCATCCCAAGAGAATCTTCTAGCAATAAACAGCATTGGTCAGGGAGCAAGAAGACCCAAGCCCTAAATCCAGATCAGTCACTCCTTAAAACCTGGGACAAATCAGTTCTCCTCTTGTAGCTTATATGGTTTCACCTACAAACTGGGTAGCTATCCCAAGATTGTCCAACTATGAGTTCTGAAAGTAGCTTCTACTTGGTCTAGAAAAATAGTCTTGATACATTTATGTTGATTACTTGTTTTTGCAAGGATGCCTCAAGCGCCTGGAAATTTGCAGACATTTCTTATTTGTTGCCATGTTGAATAAATGGACACAAACATAAGTGACTATTAAATGATAAGGAAAGGATCAGAGAACCTTCCACCACATGCCAGAACCAAAACTCAGCACAGAGATCTCACCACTGCCATACTCCCAGGAGGTCTCAGAGGCAGGCCTGAAGAAGGTAAAGAGTTGGTCATTTGTTACTAGACCAGCCATCAGACCCAGTGGTTCTTATAGAAAGATTGTCATCCTGTGAGGATCTCAAAGTCCCTTCCAATATTGCCACAGGAAGGTTTTAACAGATGAAAGAGATAGTCCATGAAAAATAGCTGCCCGTGGATGGCCTGGGAATTCTAAAAACCAAGGACCAAGGAGAGAGCTACAGGGATAGGTATGAAAACCAGAATGATAGCATCTCTACCATCCATTTTGCAAATAGCATTTAGAGATCAGTTTCCACATCCACAAAGGGGTCCTTCATCCCTTATTGCATTTGTACCTCTCTTCCTCTTATGTCTTGACCACTGACAACCAGTGGACCTTGGATCTCAAAGAAGAAGACCATAAAGGCCATTGAGCCGATGCCCTTCTCCCCCATTAATGAATCCCTGTGGTCTCTGGTGAGGTGGAGAACATCTCCTACACAACAACTCCTGCAGCTGCAAATTCTGTCTTTCCAATAAAAAGTTCTTCCTTATATAGAAACAAAATCTGGCTCCCTATGAAGCTATCCCAGGCCTCATCCCTCAGTTACTCTGGCTGTTTCCTGACCATATCACACTGCTAGCTTCTAATGCATCTGTTGCCAACTTGAAATCCATCCTTTTGGGGTTTTCCAGTAAGTGTTACTGTTCTACATATATACTGTTGGCCTTATGGATTCACAAGATGTACCCTACTAAATCCCAGTCATTGAGAAATGGGAGAAGTTAGGTCTTCCAGGCCAGTTCCTCATCTACCTCTACCTCATCACCATGCCACATTCCTGTCCTCCATGGACAAAGCTCGGGAGCCCATTCCCAGCTCCCCACTCCTGCTCTCCAGTCCTGCCAGATCTAAAACTGTCTCTAAGATGCAAGACTGTTCCAAGGAACATGAAGAGAGAGCGCTCTGTAGAAAAAATAGAGTCTTCCCAACTCAAGTGTTCTCGTGGCCTGCAGGCAGGACAGTAGGGACAGTCTTGCCCATCGTGGGGCTGGGAGTTTGTTCGTGACCCCTGACAACCCCAGCATCATTCTAGAACATGTTGTCTTCACAAAAAGGGGTAAGATTTATTTTTTGTCACAGTTCATGGCACTACTTGGATTTCAGGTACAAGTAGCGACAATGCCTCACATTAGAAGCACGCTTTATGGGTTAGTAACTGCTTTCCCAGATAGTTTCATTTAATCCCTCTAGCAGTTACCCCTGGAGGGAGTCTTCTACCTAATTTAGTTATAGGGAAACTGTCAAGCAGAGGTGTTAAGTATATTCCCAAGGTCACAGCAAGAGTAAGTACCCAAAAGAACACTGGTTTAGTAGTTAGACTGTTCAAGATTCCAGGTGCACTTCTGGTAGCTGTACGATCTCTAAATAACAGTTTAAGCTTTCGCAAACCTTGGTTTCTACACCTGAAAATTGGAGATTAACACAGACCCTCTGTCTACCTCTTAGGGCAGTTATGAGGATCAAATGAGATAATGCGAGTGAAAGCCCTCTGGAGAACGGGAAGGCAGTACAAAGTGTAAGGGATCATTGTGTGATTACTTGTAAATGACTGTGCATTCCATTACAAATTCAAAAAGCAGTGAGGTCATTCTCAAGACAAAGAAACATTAAGGCTCTGGAATTACAGGGCAATCATCTGATGTTCTACAGGTTATGTCTATATACTACTCCCTCTTGCAGTTGAAGGTCAGCAGTAACTGTCAAGTTTCCAAGTGCCAAGTCACACAAGTTTACAGGAATGCTCAAGACAAACGCTCCCTTTTCAACTACAAGCAAATGCCTGGCCCAAAGGAGATAATAGAGATGGACATTTGGGAGACCCCTGAAATTCTCAGTTCCGGAAATGTGACCTGCAGTGTTTTCCTTGGAGAAGTTGTTAGAAACACAGGCTCCAGTTTCTCTGCAATACGCCCGTGGGGAAATAAGCATGCAGTAAGGAGCTACTGACCAGAGAGCACTGAGGGAGCTCCCAAGCACAAATTCAGGGGAACAGGATATTTCAAGTTGCAGATACAAAAGATAAATTTCAACCCATTAAAAACCTCCCCAGCCCAGCTGGTGTTGCGCAGTGGTTGAGGATCGACCTATGAACTGGGGAGTCGAGGTTCAATTCCCAGGCCAGGGCACATCCCAGGTTTTGGGCTAGACCCCCAGGAGAGGGCAGCTGATCAATGATTCTCTCTCATCATTAATGTTTCTACCTCTCTCTCCCTTCCCCCTCTGAAATCAACAAAAATATTAAATAAATAAATAAGCAAATAAATAAATTAATTAATAAAAACCTCCCAGCCACACCTTAAGATTTGAGACAAAATTTTAAGGCAGGGAAGAGGCCCATTTACATACCAGAGGTCCTGCTGCAGGTCACCTGGGAGCCAGAGGGCACCCAAGAAGATCTGAGAGTGCAGCAACTGGTCTGGCTTCCTTCAGTCCTCTCCCAACACGCTAGTCACCAGGATTCTCTTCAATTTCTGCAAAGATCCAAGTCATCAATGTCATTATGGAGGGGCCGGATTTTCCCCAGAAAGCCATTCCCAAGGCAGTTGAACACACAGCTTAATGATGATTGTTTTCTGCTTTGCATTTTGTCATCTGTTTCCTGTGCTCAACACTGGAGAGAAGCACTGACTAAATTAATTTGTGACACAGATGTGTGAGCACTAGTGGCAGAGGTGGACAGTCGGGTGCAAACAGAGATAACTCAGAAAGGTCAACTGAAGCCCATACCATAGTTGTTGCAGGCCAAGGTGTTACAGTCTTTGTTTTGTTTTGTTTTTAACACTATTAGAGTGTATTTCTAAAAGTAGAGTGGTTTTATTTGAGACCCAAAATTCCAATTACACCATTAATGGGTTTAAAAAATAGTATCTTTGGCTCCTCACTGCCAAATACTAATAATAACAATAACCACTACAATTGAATGAGTGTTTGTTCTGGGCTGAGCATTGTACTAAGCAGGTTGCATACATTATGCCATTTAATCCCATCAACAACCCAGTGAGCTGATCAGTCTCATTCCCACATTACAGATGAGAAAGGAAGACTTAAAGGAAAAGTAAACTGGCCAATTCCAGAGAGAGTACGTGGAAAGGCCAGAATTAACTAACTCACAAGGCAAGCAACCCCTAACCTTTCCCATTGTCCAGCCTCTCTCTCTATTCTATTTATTGGAGATGATATCATCCTCGTGTAACTATCACACATGATGATCATATATAACAAACATAACCATGTCCAAAAAAACATTTGACAAAAGTCCTTATTTGTTTCTGTCTCCTCACCAGACCCGTGACATCAGAAACCCTGCCTGTGTTCCCGGCACTGTGTACACAGTGAACACTCAATAATCACAGGTATTCAGTTAGACAATGTGTCTGAAGGTTGGGCCAGGAAACTAATCTCAGTGAGGTTCCCAAGGTCCAAAGGGGAGACATAGCCAAGCTGAAAGATACAGGTCAAGTATTCTGCACATGGGGTAACCTGAAGCTTCTGACGGAAGCTTCTCAGAGGCTGCCTGACCCTTGAACCTGCAGCCAGGTGCTCTGGAGGCCTCAGAGTGAGGTGCACAAAAAGCACATCTCCTTGAAAAAGGGGAAAAGTTCCAGGACCCCTGGCAACTATGACTTTTACCAAGCCACTTTCGTTGTAGTAAAAAGACGAACTAGGCTAGAACAATGAGTTTCAAACTTTCCTTTCCCTAACAACGGAGCTTTTTTTTAATGATATGCTTTGCAAATGTTCAGCTTGTAAATAACAGGACTGCTCAGCCTGGGCTCCAGAAGTCCCCTTCCCTGCTATTCTCTCATCATTTGTCATCTCACCCACCCATCACCCAGCCCAACCCCAAAGCCACTCCTGGAGTCTCCCAGGTTCGAGGAGCAGAGCTTGAAAACCTCCAGCCTTCTGAGGTCTTCATAGCACCTTCTGGCTCTGATTCCTATAACCTCCAAGGTCTGAGACATATCTCTGTAATAAGCAGCTCTGCATTTAATCAGTGAGATGGGCAATATGAAGTGTAACAGGGAAGAAAGAATTCTCAAACTAGAAAACTTGGATTATAGGCTATTTAGGACCTGTGTTCTCACAAGCGAGTTATTTAAATCTCGCTAAACCTCAATTTTTCTTGTCTATAAAATGGGAAATAATAATGCTATCAACCAAATTAGGTTTTTATGAGAATTAACTTTTTGAATATGTATATACACAAGTTGCTTAACAGAATATTACAGTAAATACTGTAATCGCCCCATCTATAAATGTATCTAAGTCCACAGATGGAAAAGTATGTAGCACTGTGTCCATGGCGAAGGAGATGCTCAATAAGTGACAGAGGCCCTTCTCGTTCCTTCCGTGCTCTCATGGACATTTTCAACTTGAACAAACCTAGACAGCTATAAAGAGCCAGAAGGACGAACACCTTTTGTATCCCAAATTACCTATAGCTCATCTTTAAAATCTTACAGCTTGTCTCTAGGACCTTTGAAATTCATGGCCATTTGGGCTTCCAAGAATGTCAGCCAACACAGTCAAGGGTGTATAGAGGTACAGAAAGTGAGTTTGAGAAAACCACTGATCCAGATAATTGGCACCGGAGAGAGTATTAGATGTGACATCCTCCCAGCTTCCACATCGACCAGCTAAGCAGCCTGAGAAATTCCACCTGTTCTCTGAGTCTTGATTTCTCTATTTGTGAAAAAGGGGTAAGAACTCTATCTTCCATCTCCCGGTGATGCTGAGCAAAACCAAGGAGTTGATGGGTGTGAAAACTCTTGAAAACTTCCCAGCTCTATACTTATATAAAATATTATCATTTTTATTATAACCTTAAGTAAAAAGTTGAACCATTACAAAAAAAAAACAAACAAAAAACACTTAGGATGTGCCAAAAACTTGGGAATCACCCTATTTTGAGGCCTTTGCTCCAACTGCAAGATTCCTTGTTTCTTGCCTGACTTTTACCCCAGGCTTCCCACACATCCTGAAGGTGCTGCAAGGTTGACCCCATTTCATCACAGCTTTCCCAGCTGACTTCTCACCAGTGCTCTGAACTGCACAAAAAATAATGTGCAGCTGTGTTCGGGCGAGCACTCAGGGGCTCCAGGAGGGGCCCCAACCCATCTTCCCAGAAACTCTCCCATCATATTGCTACATGAGTCCCTGGCTTCAGGCAAGAGTATATCCCCAACTCCTCACAACTCCAAGGTTTGACCATGTTTTCCCTCAGGGCTGTACCTCCAAATCTGAGCATAAAATCTCCTCACTGTGCAGTGGGGAAGTGGACTCTTCAGAAGGGTTCTGTGATTGGGGTGAACTCAGCAGTGTCTTCAGTGCTCCAATCTTTTTCTAAAGATGGTCCCAATGATTACTGCTCCATAAAAGTGAACATCAGGAATAAAAGGAAATATTTCTGTATTTCTTTGTAGTCAACAAAGCTCTCATTGTCCCACCTTTTGGAATGCTTAATACCACATCCGACGAAGACAGCCATTCTACAGATGAGAAACCTGAGGGTTCATAGCAGAGTAAGAAGCTGAGCCAGTAGCCCAGTGCACATGACACACTTCATCAGCAGCAGAGTGCCCTGAAAACCTGCCGTAGGAGGTGCCCTGGGCAAGTCACTGTCCTTCTCTGAGACATACAATGAGGACTCTGGGGCGATCCCCAAACCTATACACCTCTTTCTCTCTCCTGAAAGATTTCAGAAATGAAACCTTAGAGAGGAACTAACAAGGAAATGCTTACATTTGTGTTTGGTCAGTTCCAACCCAAGCTTTCCTTCCCAACCTCCAAAGCCCATCCCATCAGAAGGACGAGGCACTGACCCCAATGCCAAAAAGCCACCAAGACTCTACAGGCCGACACAGGGGACGCTGCTGTGTGATAGCATCACCATGCAGAACAGCAAGCTGCTCCCTCAGAATAACTGCAGTCACGGTCACAGCGCATGAACCTTGTCAGCAAATTGCTGGTTTGACTGGCAATTTTTAATAAGCTCATGAGGCAAGGGCATTAATGTGGACGGGACAGTACGCACCTGACATGCCTTGTGGCCTGTGGGCTCCACGAGGGAGGACAATAAAAGAAACCCTCTTTTCTTCAAGATCCTTGAGACAGTAGCTTCTCTCTTTACAGTGAAGGCAACTAGGACTGCTGCCTGACCACAGCACTTTCATTTGGATATGGAGACAGTATCTGCCTAGCAGGCTGCCAAGCCTTCTCCTGGAATTCTCCTTAAGTCTAAGTGTTGACTGCTAGGTTATCCCAGGACCACAGGATTCCCACCTGGCAAAACTCAGGTACCAACTAGTCCACTTGCTGTAAACAACTTGCTTGGGGCATTCATTCATTCAGAAAGCACCCGAAGTCCACTGATGCACAGCGAGAAGATAAGGCTTGGTTTCTGCTTCCAAGGACCCTGCACCAATATCTTAAAGTGGCTTCCCAGTGGCAACACAGTAAGTCCAAGTGCTTAATCTAATATCTCAAGTTTCTGAATAACACAGAGTCTGTTCCACTATAAACTCCTTCCCACTGCCACTCAGCATACATCCTCTGCGTATTCAGACTGAACTCTTAGCTCCCATGTTCTCTTACTTGACCTACTTCCCCTCCCCATCCTGAGACCCCAGATAGATATCCTATACATCCTTCCAGGCCATTGGCAGTTCTCAACAGGAACAAAATTGCTCTTTGAAGAAAGACAGTTATTTCTGCATTGTCTCATGTGTTACAGGATGTCTAGCATCTCTGGCTCTGAGCACTGCATGGCAATGGTGGTCTGGCCTCCAGCATTGAGACAAAAACAAAAAACACACTCCACCACATTTGTAAATACCTGTTAAAGAGATGTTACTGCCTCCAATGGTGAATAATCTGACCACTGTCACTCAGCATGAAACCTCCCTTGCTTCTCAGTCCAGTCAGAATAATCTCCCTTCTCTGAATTTGCTTAGCCTGCTGTCTAGGACACCAATCATGACCTTCCTTGTACTATTCTTATGATGAACTTGACTTGTTCCCTTCTCCAGTGAGGGCTCCCAGTGGAAGAACCCATGACTGACCTTTGCCCAAAGTGCCAAATCTAGACCCGAGTCAGGCTTACAGTAAGCGTTTAAGAAACATTTGTGACCAAATTATATAAACAGAACAACTGTCCAAGGCATAACTCCCTGTAGAAGATTAAACTGAACTAAAAAACTACAAGTCAACCACTGTTGTCAAAACTTAAAAAATAAATGGGGGGGGGGCGGTGGGGAACGAGAGAGTAGGAGATATCTATAATACTATCAACAATAAAAAATACATTTTTAAAAAACATCAAAAACGAATTTGGATAAATGGCCTGCTTTTTCAGAATACTAAGTATATTAATGTTATATATTTTACGTAAATAAAAAAATATATTAAGTAGACTATCATACTTAACTAGTGGCCCAGTGCACAGATTCATGCACATTCACAGGAAATTAGA